TAAAGGATATTTAGAATTTCAGAAATTCTTCTCGAATGACTTACTCCAGGAATGCCAGTATCAACAACATCATACAGACATGCTTTATAAACTATCTCAATTGTACTGTTCTTTAAGAGATTTCGGCTGTCGGATCCTTGTCGATTTATATAGTCCAAATAATTGTTTAAGTACACCTTGCAAATTTGTTCGACCTCTTCTGGTGCGATGATTTCCTGTGGCGGTATTGATGGTCCGATTGACGTTTGATTATCTGATCCGCATGATGGGCCAGTACAAATACCAGCTGATACGTCAGTTAGAGCTTTTGTTTGAAACACATTAATATTAAGATGACTCGGATTGGCATTTCTCTGTCAAAAAACAAACTTGTTAGTAAGTAAAAAAGAAATTTAACACACTAGTGTGTTAACAATTGTTGATATCTGAACGTAATGTATTACATCATATCATAACACTGAGCCGATAATTTTGTTAATGTCTTGCTCTGATACTTCACCAATCGATTTCGCGAATCAATTGGAGTTCAAACAAACACTTATAGTCTCGACAGGTAAAAATTTAGAATGTATCTCTAATTAAAAGCTTTGGATGATGACATCGAAATATTCAGTAAAATAATCACTCGAAACAACTCATACACAAAAACTATGAATACGACTCAGTATTGATTTCAACCATCATGGTAAAACATTGATGCTAATACCAATAACAGTGCGACAATTATATATAGACAGATTAACTGTGGTGTAAACAATTTTGATTTCAGGAAAATAATTCTATCGTCAAAATATTACTACTAGAGCACTAAAGATCTCTGTAAGACAATATATACGTAATTAACCTAAACAGTTACTTTTCCTGCATTTTTGTTGATCACCACATCAAAATTGAGTTTAGAAATTTTAAGAACATTGCATCTATTGAAAATGATGCAAGATAAGGGCCTACTTAATTACTCTTCTCAAATGATGTGTTCAATCTGAATGAAGTGATCGGTATAGTACTGATAGAATTGCATATCTACTCATAGTTTATTCTGCTAATCACTCTATGTTTTGTGAATGGTTCTTAACCGCATACATTCATGAAATGATAGATAGATAAGATCCACTTCTATTCATTATCTTTCAAAAGTTTTAATAGGACAGATATCATCATTTCAACATACGGTGTGTGTAGTGATCATCGAAAAGCCTGCTTGAAAATAAGTAACGGTAACCGCCCATGACGACATAGTGTCATGGAAATCATACATGATGCCTGAAATAAATATATTTTCTTCAAATATATTCAAGTTTTATTGTAACTTTACCATATTGTTGGCAATCATCACTAGCCGCCACTTGAAAATTTTTGGAGACAATTGTGCATATGGGTTTGAAACTTGAATCATTGAAAAAGATCACATCAAACTATAACGAGAGAGTAAATAGAGAGAGAAATAAATACCTACATAGAATTAAGCTTACGGCAATAATCCATTTTCTTTGCACACGAATCTTGAACTCAACATAATTGTTCAGAACAAGATCATATAGTTCTTCGTCAAAACAATCTTTATAGATACCATCATTTTGATCATTGAGATGCCAAGTTTGTATATGAGGATCCGTCAATGCCACACATTTGTACAAGTCACTGGATTCTTGCGCTACAAGAATAATTCAACTGTGTCAATATGTATGTCTTATTATTTAATAGAAATAAGCTTACCACAATTTAATTGTGCTAGACAGATGAGAAAGAATAACACAAGAAGTTTGGTCTTCATTATAAATGTAGTTTAGTATAATATGAAATTGAAGAACTTTGGATGCCTTTTTATACTCGTGAAAAAGGCTGTGATTGAGTTTACCACGAAGATATTTTTGTTCTAACCTATTTACAAATCTAAATTTAGTAGCAATCAGTGTGTCACTTACAAAATATGATTAATAATTACTTCAAAATCATAGCAACACATCGCGCAGTTTTTATTTGAATATTCATTAGTGTTCTTCGGCCGAAAATGATCTTCATTTCTTCAATAGGCACATTCACTTAATAACTTATTTCTACGTTTTTTTTATATTATTTCTATTTTTGTTCTAAAGTAAGCAATCGAAGTATGGTGAAACCATGAGTAAATAGTGTTAATGCGTCATTATGATTAATACTCTTTCTGTGGTTGCTGTTGAGCGCTGTTCTTTAGTTTGTATAATTCGATTATGACCAGTCACTTCCGATGTTTTTCTGTGAATTGAAGATGCTACCACCGCTGATGATTAAACTGAGTTAAGTTATTTCACAGGACTTTCTTCCCACATATAACGACACTACTTAAACATTTGTAAACATATCCACATACTTCTAAACTGAAAATGAATTTTTTTTTTGATTCTTAAAACAAGAGTGATCTATCGATTTGAAAGGATGTGCATGCAGAACACAAATAATTGAGTTTTATTGACGTTTTTTTTATAATTCTTTTTGAAATCATTTGATAAAATCTTTTCTTCAAAATATAGGCTTTTCACTAAAACTATGATACAGACCGTTTCATAACATCGAATCACAATTCATCAAGAATTTGTGTCATATTTTGAAAAATTCAGCCGAAATCGACTTTTCATCCCTGTTTGAGTTACAGAATCGATTTCAAAACACAAACAACATATCCATAAGTTCTAATTCTTTAAACGTGAAAATTTACAACTGACTATGAAAAAAATAATTGTTTTCTTGAAATATTACTTCTTGAACGATAATAATACAGTTCATAAGGATTCTTTTATAACATCTAATTGTAGTTTTTTTACGAAGAATTTTATTTTATTCACTTATTTATTTATTACAAGGAGTAGTAAAAAACAGAAATATGCATGATTCAATTTTTTTCTTAGTCTTAATGGTCTGATATTGTTCAATAGTTTATTTATGTCCATCTCACTGTGACATTAAATCTGCACTGGTGGTCTTCATTCTCTTCAAGTTGAACTGGTAAAGTCATTTGATTTCCATTAACTGCTATAGAATTGCAAGTCGTGTCACGAAGAATGATTTGGATGCCTCTTTGAAGAACAAGCTGAGCATTGACGCTTTTGTTCTTGAAATTTACAATCAGAACATTGATCTCATAAGTTTCGAATGTTCTGCTGTCACTTGTCGATGTCAAATTTGTGTTTATCATATAGCGAACATCATTATCATGACCAACATTAATTGATTGGGTATAATTATTTGGAATATCAGGCAAATTTGATTGACCAACAAGTACTCGTTTATCGAAAATGGAAATAATACCAGCTGGCATAAACTGATTGGGTGTCAAATCATAATTTCTTTGAAAAACACCTTGATACTGTCCTGTGCTAATACTGGCCAACGCTTTATAATAGAACTGATACTGGACAACAATATCAATGAATGGTAAACGAATAGAACTCAACGAACGAAGTGTATATTGATCGTTTAATGAATACGAATACAAACCTTTATATTCGCCATTACTTTGAATTTGCTGCAAGTCTGCACCTCCTCCATCAAGAAGAGATCCATAATTAGAATTTGGATAATTAGTAGCTAATTGCAGATCACCACCTAACAATTGAGTTTTTTCTACTTTATATTCTCGTTGTTGATCATTCTTGATATTTGCATAAGCACGAAGTTTAGCATCTAACATACAAGAAAATAGTTCAAATTAGAACATTTAAGTAAAGAAATCAATCTACTGACCATTGTCGTCTGTCAAAAAAAGATCGTAGTTTGGTTTCCATGTGATTCCTTTCATTAAATAGGATAATGTTCCATTATATTCTGTCGTATTACTTTCGAATTGAAACATCAATACTGTTCCGCCATTATCTGGTTGTGTTGATATATATTCGATTGACTGTTTATCAGCATAAAAATATGCTCCTGTATTCAAATTTTGAAGTAACATCGAATTGGGATTGACAATCTTTGCTTGAATTGTTTCACATGTACATACTGTAGATCGTTGTACTGTTACTATAGCATCTTGAAGTGATTCAATCGTATTATAGGTTTCTTGTCGAACAAATGGTGTACCTTCCCAACTGATTGATCCATCAATTATGCTTTCGTACTCAAATTTCATAAACTCATATGTATACGCACCGAGTCCATTATGAAACTGACGAACTTGAGTAAAACTTTTATAGAGAGACAATTCGACGGCCAGTAATGACCGACTTAGATAGATTAGAGCGAAATAAAAAAGCAACATGCTGTTGACGTATCTAGAAATATTAAATTTCTAAGTATCCATACATTAATATAATCAGACGTATGAAGCATTCAAACTCGGTCACATTTTAAACTTTCTCGTAAATTTGATTTGGCATAAAAAAAGTGGACAAAGGTACACTCAGAGTTGCGATGCTTCCGGAAATAATTTCATTTATACAGTGCAAAGTCTAACTAGTGATAGAATTTGATTTCTTTTAAATTTTGATGAATAAATATGAACAGAAGGATATATTTCTACTGAGACTTGAGCCCATGTTTGATAGATGAAAATACCTTCATCTAATCATAGTGTTTAATATTAGATAAAACCTTGTATCTTTCAAGAATCAAATGGAATCTTCGAATTCGAAAAGAATGATTAAAATATGAGCTAGAAAGTTATGACATTTCTTCTGTTCATCCGCATCCATCTTCGACATGGTTTGATAACTTAATGATTGGAGCACTAGTTCAGATAATTCCTATTCAATCATGGGTCCCATTTTTGATTGAACCATATCCTTTCTGTTCTGCTTTTTCATTGATAGTCAAAACCAGTAAGAACCATATAGTAAAGAAAAAAAAACTATATTATGAATACTCCTTTACAACTTCGAATTCATTACAATCAAAAAAAAACTCACAGTGTAAAATCAGTCATATCGATAAATGATAATACGTGAATATTAAAAGTGTCGTTGAAATATTATTGAGGTTATTTAGTTGTTTGAATATTCCTTTATATACGTATATTTTTGATTATATGCGTAGAAAAATAGTAAGAGTGAAAAAAATCTATTTGCGCATATAAACATACGCAATACAGTTATTGTATCTTTATCTAAAGCAAGCAATAGACAGCAAATAAAATTCACATTATTTCAGTTTTTCACCCAGAAAAAACTCAAGTGGTGTAAAAAAAAATTTGATTCATTAGATTGTCACAAATTTATGAAAAATTATACAGCTTGAAATCATCATCATTAAATTAAAAACGCATATTAAGTTTATGAAGCAATACGGAGTGCTTAAACTAAAGATTTAGGAGAGAAGGTGAAAAAGGATGACGTGGAAGAGAAAAAGTATAAAGAATTACTTTCCCTTGATTGAATCGAGGGTTATATAAAATAAAACGAGTTTGTGCATATACATGTCTGCTTACACGTGTGTATTCACGTGTCGACAAATCGTCCTGCATCTTTTGAGTAAATATTTTAGATAAATATTTCGTATGGCACTTTCAACCAATCAAGTGTCTTTTTTTATACAACTCTCGTCTGCGCAGATATTTCTATCGAGAATTCAAGGGAATCTGAGTTCATTGGCTTTGGTTTAGTAAGTGTGGTTTTCTGCATTACATGGCGACTCAATCACATATTATCTATTTGAGGTTTTCTTCAAAAGTTGAGAAAGAAGAATGTGATGTTGATATATCTGACTTTTTGTTTTATCAATATTGGTGTTTTATCGTAAACGATTAGCAGAAGAATACGACGATCGCAAATTCTGTTCGAATAACATCGTAAGATATCGAATATGATACTGTAAACGGTCTGATAAACCATCATCGTTTTTCTTTCGTACTTTATCGTAAACCATGGTTAGCAATAGCCACCAGATCTTATTGAATATGAGCAACACATACTCTTAACCTGTTATGGATGTGTTTATAAAACAATACTTGCTCATTAAAAAGTAGATAGCCGTTATCAATGTAGAATATTGGTAAGATATAATTTACGTTCGGACGATTTCCACAGTAAAAGCGTCAGATCAAAATCAATATCTAAACTCTTTTTCTTAATAAACGATATTATAGTAGCAGAAGAATCTATACTATTTTATATATGACAACAAATATCTTTAAAGGGCCTTCTCAACAATGATTTTTAAGAGTGTGCATGTGGATATGGTTAAGTGAGTATTGGCCTGACTGTAGCTGTATCGTTGTCGGTGTGCTGCTGCTGATGCCGTGTTTGTGGGAGACCCATTTGTTTATTCACATTCACAGGATACTTGCACCTGATACTCAAAATAATTTTCACAGGAATTATTCAATCTGACAAGTGTTGTTTGTTTCTTTATCAGCATGGCTTTTCATATTTTGACTTTCTGGATTTCAGCTGCAAGACATAAGTGGTCAATAAGTAAATTGATGACGAGAACAAAATATTGACCTGTATTGCTACTCAGATAGCGTGCCGAAAATATCTTGTTTGTTTTTAGAATCGCTTCGTTTTTGCTATAGTTAGCACCAAGTTATGACTTCTAATTGATGAATAAATAGAATAGGTGATGATGCAAGTCAATATTACACGAACACTCTGCAGCATTACTTGTCTAGTTGAAAAAAAGCCTTAACAAAAGTATAATAATAATTATTTTATTTCAAATAGGATTTTTTATTCTAAATATATAAAAATAATTTAAATTAATGCAGAAGTAATGATAACTATGAATTATATTGAAAATCATAGAGCTTTCAGACATGTTCCTGTCCATCATCGGTTTTTTTTTGTTTTTTGTGAAGTTTTTGCATGTGTGTAGCTGTGGTGTTGTTTTTTTCGACGGATAATTTTTGTGTCTTTGGGAAAAAGTGTTTTAGGGCGTTTTATGTTGGAGTTTGATTTGGTTTGGTTTGTGGGTTGGAAAACCAGCGTGTTTTTGTAGTTAGTGTTGTTTGGTAGCTTGTTTTCACTTTAGGCTTTTTTCATTTGAAATCGAGATAGTTTATGATTTTTAGTGGTTTTTAGAGCTCTGTGTGTGTTTGGTCTCGTCCTTGAGAGAGTGTTTTGGAAATAGTTTCCTGAATGTTAGAATAGTCGGGTTCTGACGGAACATGTTTTAGTTTCTCGGCAGTCGTACTCAGTAATTATTTGGTTCATACTATGGAGAGTTTAGATTTGTTTTATGTTTGCAAGTGATCAAATCTTTGGTTATGTGCAGTTTTTTTTTGTTCTGGTCTTGTGTTTGTTTGTAAGTATATGTTGATTTCGTATGTTCGAGTGCATTCCTTCTCGCTGTTACTGGTATAGTGTTTTTTTCGTGTGTGTTTCGATATGTATGCTTCTTCTGTTCTGATCTGTAGTGTGAGTTATAGTTTTAGTGGTGTTTTTGGATCGAGATAAATTTTTTTGTTTTTTTTTCTTTCGATGGTTCTGGTGCAAATAGGTCATTTGGCCGATTCTAGTATCATCTAGTGAAAGTTTATCGTTCTGTTCTGTCAGTTATATAAATCTGTGGTATAATCAGTCGAGTGCCAGTGGAATACGTAAAAATACCATGTGTTTTGTTTTATGATTTGTACCTTTTTTCAGTATTTATGTGATATGTTTGAGGGTATGGTGGTGCATGTTTAGTTGTTTTAGGTTCTTTAGTGAGACTGATGTTGTCTTTTTTATATTTTGTTAATTTGTTCTGCAGATTGATTGACAGTTTGTATAATGGCTTCCCTCACGCTTTGTATGCTACATTTCTGAATTAGTTTAATAAACATTATGTTCTTGTATTCTTTTGTGTATATTGAAATTTTCAGTTCAGATGAGAGATCTCAAAGCACCACTCAATCTTGGTAGAAAGGCACGAATTGTTTTTTTAGAATCTCTCTTCATTATCATATTAGCAAAGCGAACTTGTTGATCAACTTTGATAAATTTATTTCATGTTCATTGTCTTCTCAATGCATTCAATCATCGCATTATCACAGTGTTTTTTGACAGTTTCGTAGTATTACAAGATCGTGCCACTTAAACAAGTTTTTTCAGGTTTTAATCCAATTGTAACGTATCCGAATACTGGATATAAATTTGAGATACGGTGTTTAAAAGAAATGAAGTAAAACCAATTCTCTTATACTATGGATTTTCTGTCGATTCATTTTCTTCAACTTTATCAGTTTCAATAAAGTGATCGGATTGATGACACGTTCTCTACCCAAATTATAAGACAGACTGCTTGCCTCGTCTAACTTCACTGTATACGAAAGCATCCGATAATTTTTTCTCATTTATCTGTTTCAGTTTCACATACTATTGGTAATATTCTGAGCTATTGCAACACTTTATTTCAATTTTGTATTCTTTGTATGATTTTTTTAATAACACGGTTATAATGGCCAAATTACCATAAAATTTTGTGGTTGAACAACAATTTACAGGCATGTTGGAAGAAAAATAACAATTTTACGTGTTGCAAGTAGTAAGACGAAAAATGGCTGTTTTTTTCCTGTAGCCAATAATAATAAAAGACGAAAGAATATTACAATTGTTGTTCACATACGCCATTACTGATAATATAATTTACTTTTCGTGCAGACGAAAGAAAAGAAAGGGAAACTTTGCGTTTACTTTTTACAATAAACGCTCCCCGTCTTTAGAGGCACTCGACATATAACCTTATTGCAATTCCACCGTATGATTTTTATTCAATTACTCTAAATATTCAGTTCAATCCCTTCTTTTCTCGCTCTTAAGTCATATATTTGCTTCTCAAAGAGCAAAAATTTCGACCACAAGAAGCAAAAAAATAATAATAATAAAGAAATCGGTAACTCATTTATTTACAACTCTAAATTTAACTAATCAAAGTCTATATATGATCGAAAGTACGAGATACTAACAGGGAGGATACGCAGTGTCAAATACCTACAATGATTAATTGTGTAATATTAAAATAAAAGACACACACATTCTTGTGCAAATAATGCGCATGGGAAGAATTATTTCCACATGTATGGCGATGACATGATGAGAGAGACAGAGAAACAACGTTTACGAATTATGAATTGTTTGATCAGATCATTTTTCAATCTCTAGTAGTTCAATGCGGAAACAACCGTTGTTTTAAAGCATATTGTGTAAAATGAGAATGTTTTCATTGAAAGAATTGTTCGAATCATTGTGTGCTTCTGGATAAATTGATTAAAATATAGAATATCACGAAACTTTTTTATTCCATCATCTTCTTCAAAAAACAACTGTGATCTATACGAATACATTAATATAAAGGAAAGATGTTGTTCAAACATAGCTATCCTTATTTTGTTCGATTGATGGAAAGGTCTACATGAACTTGATTTTCTATTGAAGTGAAGAAATGATTACTCGAAGTGAAATTTACTTTTTCATTCAATAGATGATTCTTGATTGGCTGATTTCACTGATTTTATTAATAGGAAATTTTAAGACTTTATTATGAGAATTTTATTTCATTCTTTATTAGAAAGAAAACAAAAGTTATTCGAAATCAATCCAAAATCTATCCACATCATAGAGTTCAAAACACTTTGAAAAGATTAATGTAAACAAACAATAAGAGTAGTTCATAGTTTCGATGATAATGAACTAATATAGATCATAATAATTGATAAAGATTTTCAGTACATGAAATTTTTCAAAGAAAAATGAATTCTATTAGATTGAAAGCGATAGGATATCCTAATGATTGTAAGACTTATCTTTAGGCAAGAGTCCAGATCGAGCAACGTCTGAAGATGAATCCATATAGGTTTCTTCTACTTTCATTGAAATCGATAAAGCGGTATGTATTCCATTCAAAAATATGAGACACACGATGTGTTTGTCGTCATTGATACAAACTGACGAGAAAATGAAGTTTTCTCTGTAACACCTATTAGATTAAGATTATGAAATTTTGCTTCAAATGAATCGATGATTTGGTGAACGACTTTGATTGTCAGAACGGGAAGAGAAAGATGAGCGCGAGTCAGTCAGCTGGTGAAGAAAAGATTATAGCCCTCATTTATTCATCCTCAGCACTTAGAATACCTTAGTGGTAGTGTCGAACGATGAAAAGCCATTGGTAATCTATGGGTGTCTTATTTTTCATACCAAAGATGGCGGATAGATTTCGTATTGTGTCAACTCGTGCAGATTCATGATTTTGACCTGTAGTCAAGGATTCATAATCAATGAAAGAGAACATTCAAAACAAGATAGATTAAAAACATAAAAGCTTTGATTCAGAAATATACCAGTCAATGAATAGAGCATCTGCAGTGCAAAGTGGTGGTAGTTTTTTTTGCTGCATATCTAAACTATGTCTGGCTATAGCGTTTGAAAACTTCCCGTACGAATAAGTCTCATCAATCAGGTCTAAGACTACTATGAACTGATACTGGCAGTGTTGCAAATTTTTCATGTACTGGTTTGCCGAGAACATATGAACAGTCATATATTGAGTTGTAAAGTATAACATGTAAGTTTTTTTTTCAATACAATATTGTCTACAATAAAGAGTAGAACTAATAAAAGATTGATATCAACAAGTAAGACAAGGCATGTTAAACTACAATTACGATACAATAATAACAATGTTCTTGTTTTTATATAGAAACCGTGATGAATTGATCGTTCAATTTTTTTTGCTCAAAAATCAAGTTGCTGACCTAAATAAAAAAAAGAAAGCATAAGTGAAATAATCTTTCAGTAAAACACATCTTTCAAGAAGATAATTTAAGAATTATCGTATTGTAAAATAGTTCAGTTTACTTCTAATTTTATTGATATGAGTTCCTATAAGCTTCTAACATTCAACTTCAAATATGAATTTTATATACAACTAACATATAGATTAACATGTCCATTAGTACCATGGTTGATCAGAAATTTGACTTCGAAGTCAACGTTGACTTCACTCGTATCGCTCTAGAGAATATGTGTCCCAAATCTAATCTGCCACCTACATAATAAGTTCTCTTAACATGCTTTTCATTCAGTCATTCGATTCACTTATTGATCCTTGTGACTAACTTACATTCAGAAGTATATATATAACACGCCTATATCATCTTCCAGTAGTGCTTTACAGCTTTACAAAATTCTTTTCTGTAATATGTTGATGGTAAAATAAAGACTACAAAGGTGAACGTCGGTGGAATGAATGAAATAAAATAGCCGATTAGGAATAGCCATGAATCATGAGCTGATTTCATACAACCGAAAACAAGAGCAAGAACTACACGTGGAAAAGCAAGAATGACCAAGACAAATGGGGCTATAATAAGACGATTGTGTTGCTGGAATTGTTCACGCAAGAGCTGTTGATAAGTAAAATGGGGTTGAACAATAGCTCTTTGTTTGGCATTTGCTCTTATGATGATCAAAGCCGAGACTAGATTGATGAAAAATGGCATAAAAAAGTGAAAAAGATAAGTGGCCGAATTAAACAGTTGAAAACTGGACGAGTAAGTTACAATGCACCAAATTCGTTTCTCCTCGTTATCTTCATCATCAAAAAGACGTCGATGAATGGGATCATGAATAGCTGTGCCAATGATCAAAAGAAGAAGAGAAATAATCACATATTTAGCTACTTTCTTGCTTGTCTTCTTGTCAAACTTGGCTTTTTGCACAGCAGTTATCGCTCGCTCGGCTGCTACACATGAATTTAACCATTGATCCATACTAAGACAAATACGTAAAAGAAAGTCAATTAGTAGACATTGCACATATAAGAAGTATCGATTGATTGTCAGGGACATTTGTGAACTAACAAGTATCCAAAATTTGATACCAAAGAGAGACATCGTCAATAGAGTAGTGATAGATGATCCTATTAAATACAAACCACAACCAGCTTCACGTAGTTTTTTACTCTGAAAAGTGATCAATGTAAGAATACCATTGATTAGTCCAGCTAGAACCGTGATAGCAGTCAAAACTGCACTAATTTGTACAGCAGATGGTTGATGTAGAATGTTGCGATGTCGTAATATGTGATAACCCAAAATGGCATCAAGTGAAAGACCAAAGTCACTAGTACTGAACTGACGTCGTGCTCCATAGAAACAAGTCGGACATACACAAATCGATGTTTGTGCGCAAGTTAAACTATCTTGAAAGCATTGCGCTCCATTTTCACAGCCACTTCGACCAAGACAGTCACTTTTTAGATGATGATTAAATTCGAAACAATTCGCCACACGATGTCAACCATGATCGTTGCATAGACAAAGATGAATATCGTCGTAAAAACATGATAATTTTGGCGAGTATCGTTGACATGGAACATGATAATATTTAATACGACGAAGAAGATGCAATTTGATGATCGTTTCATTAAATAGTTCGTTGATATGTTCACAGCGGTCCGATGATATAATTTTTCTAATAATTGTTGTTGATGGATAGAATGTTCTTTGAATAACAGCTAAATAATAACTTTTATTAAACAGTTCGATAAAGACAAGATGAAATGGACGTGACCAATGAATAGTCACTGACTTCGCATGAAAGTGAATTGTTTTTAAGGTCGTCGCACGTTCAGGTGAAGCATTACTCATTACTCGAATGAAATGTACAAGCATCGCTGATGATAGAGGAATATCTTTGTGAAATGAAATAATAATTTTATTATCAGCTATTTCACATCTATCTCCCGAAAAACCTTTCGAACAAATGCACGTAAATTTTCTTTCAGATATAATATGTTCATCAATTGGAGTACATTGTCCACCATTGAGACACTTCGTATTTTTATCAAGTTCACATAATGTATTGTGTAATAAACATCGAGGACCGAATCGATTCATTGGACAAACACACAAAGATCGATTGTTAGCTAAGATGCCAACACACAGAGAATCATATGAACACGTACAAACGTGTGGAATGGTACAATATCGCCCAGACCATCCTTGATTACATTGGCAAAAACTAGAGCCATTCTGATTATTTGTATATATAATACAACGGCCGTGAACACATTGTCGGTCTGAACAACTTTTAATGATTTCAATGGTGCGTGGAATATCCAGTTGAACGGCAAGGCGATGTACAGGCAAAAATTGAAATTTCAACGGCAATAACCAACTTCCACGATAAGCTAACGAGAACTTTTCATAGATATCGATGTGTATCGAATAGTTTCTTGAGTGGTTTTTTGGTCGTGTTGAATAGAGCAGATAAACATTAAATTTGATTTGACAATCTCTCATTGGTAGATAAGTGAATTGTTCATGAGAATGTATAGTTCGTTCAACGCTATCATCAATAAGCATAACAATAAGAACAAATGGTGTTCTCCATGCATCAGACAAAGCTCGATATTGCATGGTGAGACTTATGCGTTGATTTTGATATTGACACATATCACCATAAAAGCTTGGTGGACAAAGACATGTGGTTGTTGTCAAATTCTTGTCTTTGTCTAACCAGACTCTTAAATCAAAACCACGATGACAATGATTATTAGTTTGACCGGTAGATGTATGTGAAAGAATTCTTTTTTCGTTTGATATTCTCTCTTTAGTACTTGAGTTTTGATCAATACCTAGTGAAAAATGCACAATCCGTTGTTTATTTGTATCTAGGAGTCTTTCACAAAAGAACTTTTCGATATCAAATCTCATTTCGGCATTATTAGGGAAACAAACACCTCCATATAATGTAAAGTTTCTATTCTTATCACACACTTGTTCATCATCGCCATATTCACAATCGTAATAACGATCACAGAGATATCCAGGATGAATACATGATCTACGCGTGTCATTTTTGCAATAAAAATTGTAATCACCAGCTAAATAATGGTTTTCTCGACACAATCTAGGTTCGTCAGTGCCACCAAGACAATCTATTTTACCATCATCAACTTTTTTAAGTGGTATACATATGAGACGTTTCGTTTCAATTGATACACAAATATGATGATGAATAGGACAATCTAATAATCTTGATGAATCACAATCGATTTCATCAGCTCCATTGACACAATTCCAAAAACCACCACAACGTGTGTATGTATTATTACATTGCCATTGTTCACATTCTGTTTCGTCTGTTTCATTTCGTCCATCAATAACTACCGGTATCAATTCATTAAAACCATCGCATACTATCTGAAATGAAATATGATTTCGAGCATAGTGAACATCAGTTAATTCATCATCACATAATCCATTCCCATACTCATCACAATGACATATGCCATCGTTGACCATTCGGTAGGAAATACATTGATTCGTTTTTATACATTTGAAATGTTTTTTGAATCGTTCTAATGAACAAGTGTTATTGACTGTATTCAATTGTTCATCATCGTGATAAAAACAATCTATACTGCCATCATTCAGACGATTTCGAGAGATACATTTAGATGAGTTCATACATTGATACATAGTTGATCTGTTGCAGAATGTTGAGCTACTATTTACGACTTCATAACATCTATGCAGTAGTTTGAATACAGGGAAAACATAGAGACCAATCCATGTATCTCTTCCTTGATGAAAGCCTAATCCTAAATCATCAGGATGATAACATATAGTATTGTTAAACATGATAGATTGATATTTCGTGAAATATTGACTACAGAGTTGGCCATTAAAACAGATGTAATGAGGCATAGCTGCTGACATAACGGAGAACTCTATGTTTTTGTTCGTGTATGCAAAGTAGACTTGATTATACAAAATTGGAATAGGTGGTAGATAAAGCATATCTGGACAAATACTTTCTATTATTTCAGAACATTGTTGGTTTTCACACAGTGAAGTACATGCATAGGTTACCCAATCATTTGGCATATGAAGAACGCACATGAATATTAACCAGCACAAATGAGATATTGATTTTGGCTTGTTCAGAAACATCACATTTAAGAGTAATTCAGTATGCTGTTTCACACATGAACTTGTCAAAGGATTCTTAAAATAGTGAGGATTAAACGTACATACAACATCTTCACATGCAAATGTTGGTCCACTTTTATCGCAATTATCGCGTTCATCTCGAAACTTCGAAACTTCATCAGACCCATCAAGACAATCTGGAGTAAGAGAATCATCACGAAAGAATGCATAAGGTATACACTGTCCATTGCTGCATCGATATTCATCATCTTCACAATCATTGATTTCAAGTTGCCAACAATATTCTTCATCATACCCTCCATCCATGCAATCGATTTTTCCATCACAAATTTCACTCCAGTCGAGACATGACGGAGCTGGACCACGATTACATTGCAAATGGACATAACATGTAAATGTAGTCGGTTCATATCCATGCGAGTAGAGTTGAAAAATGATTTCATTTAATGATGATTGATAAGGATCATAATCATCGATCGAATATTGACACATGGGACCAAATTGCGGTAGCGTACAGTTGTAAAACAGCTGTGTACTCATTGATGTCTCATTCGAAACTTGAAGTTGATTCAAATAGGACTGGTATCTCTCAACAAGATCTATTGGTGCTGACCACATATATAATTGTTGACTAGTGATCTGTAGTTGATTAAGCTCGTCAAACGCAACAGTTCTATCGAAATTACTCTTGTGTATGCTCCATTTAGATGTCCACTCACCCATACAATAGAAAAGGATTTGACGAGCATCTTTCTCATTGCTAATAGAGGTGGCAACGTACAGACAATTATGTTGTACTGTCACATCATTCAACTTGTCAATGATCCAATCTGTCATATAAAGATTAATTTGAGAGGAACTAAATAAGGAGGGTACCAAGAGTATGACATAGAATAGACTGTTCAGAAGTAACATCATCGATGTTTCTCTCTGATTGTTAACGATAAATGAAAGATAGAATACGCCAACTGTTTTTATTTATCATTCTTAATAAGAGTTGTATTAGCTTTTTATCCAAGAAAAATTAAGCCAATATGTTTTTGTGTATCAAACTAAATGACAAACGTTGAACAAACTTATTTATTCCTGTACTCCATATAAAAAAAACTTTCAGGCTTTGCAACTTATTAAAATGGTTCTGAGCTCATATTTAACAGTAGCTGAGTCCTAAATTTATTATTATTTAAGAAGGGACAAACACATGACATATGTATTTCTGTTCTGACGTTTTTTTTTGTTATAATGATTCAGTTTGACGCATGATTACCCGGAACAATTAATTCAAAATAGCACCATAGGCTTACATCTACAATATTAATTTGTTCTTTATCAAGAGTGGCGGTATGCTTTTGCTATTTTAAAAACTAATGAAACAAATTTTGCACTCTTAGCAGGATTTAAGACATTTGTCTTGTTAAAAAATGGAGAAACAAGAACAACACAATTCAAATAGACATGTTTCGTGTGTTTTTAGCTGTAATGGTGCATATGTTAAAGTAAACTATTCCATTGTGTGTTCAGTTAGCAATGTTCAATATCTTAGTTTTTAAGATACCGTTTCAAGAAGGCTGTGATTATGCGATCGAATCGCTTCTCCAATTTATTCGGGAGGAGAAGAATTTTGCAAGGGCAAATTTGACAGCATCAAACAACATTCTGTGTACTATTCTATTATCAAAGCAGGTTTACTGATTTTTGATTGTCACAGATCGAATGCATAGGATCTGGCATTTTCTATGATTGAATTTGATGAGTCTTTAGTCTTTTATTTATGAAGATGTGATTGGGAATTATGTTCAGTAGTGTATCTCTAAGTGATTAAAAACATAATCTCTATTCTAGCAATGTCAATTCTTCTTTCTTTTTAGATAACGTAGTACTCTAGTAAACCAATCAGAAACATGGTGTGGGTGTGGGTGTCGATATAAATGAGATGACTACTCTCAGTAACACCCACACCCTCACACCGATCCACACCCACATCTACACCCACACCCACACCCACACCCACACCCACACCCACACCCACACCCACACCCACACCCACACCCACACCCACACTCCAAAAAGAGAATTTCAACACTTACTTATTCAAGCATCACTTCTCTCGTATAAAATTTTCCCCACTACGTTTCTTCTATTTCTCTTACACGACTGCAAATTGACCATACATCACCAATCTGGAAATGGAGTCCTGATATAAGTTATACATCATTCGATGTAGAATTAAATTTTCTACAAGATGATGTAACATTCATGTCCGGGCAATTGATCATATGCTCAAGAAAATGTTTTTTTTATAAAACTGTTTCCTTTTTTCCTTGTCCTTCCACTCATAGGTGAGCATACATCACCTGTATGAAAATGAGGTCCCGACATAAGATTTACATCATTCGATGCAGAATTAAATTTTGTACAAGATGAGGTATAATTCATATTCGGGCAATTGATCATATGCTCGAGAAAATGATATTTTAATATAAATTTTTCCTTTTTTTTTGTTCTTCCACTTTTAGGTGAGCAAACATCACCTGTATGAAAATGAAGTCCGAACATAAGACTTACATCCTTCGATGCAGGATCAAATTTTCTACAAGATGATGCATATTTCATGTCACAGCAATGGATCATATGCTCGAGAGAATGATTTTTTAATAAAAATTTTTCCTTGTTTTTTGTCCTTGCACTTTCAGGTGAGCATACATCAACTGTGTGGAAATGAAGCCCCGACATAAGATTTACATCATTCGTTGCAGAATTAAATTCTCTACAAGATGATGTGCGACTTATGTTCCGATAATGGACCGTATAGACGAGAAAATGTTTTTTTTATTAAAATTGTTTTTTCCGTCGTGCTAGCTTCTCATAGATTTCCGTTGCTAAGGGACACCATTCCCAAACCATCAGCCTCTATTTTGAGATTCCTGTTTGTTTCATTTTCTGATTGGTGTTTCTTACGATCAGTAAACTTATTTTTCTCGTCGTGGTAATTCATCGTGTCGTGCTAGCTTCACATTGATTAACGGGGTATGGATTGCGAATGAGGGTGAATGAAGTGTTCTCTTTATTCAGATTCATATCGACACCCACGCCTCTAGTTCGTCGGGTCTGAGATATTCAAATATTTCGAAGAGAAGTTCCATAGATCTTCGACTTCCTGTTCGACAATAACAGGAATGTTTTCTATTATTCGATACTTGCGTGGAACAAGTCTTTACATAGTTTTCTTTCATAGAATCATCAATAGGACAACAGCTTCACACATCAACGAAAATGCATTCATTACTAAATAGTCTTCGAACTGAGATAGTGATAAAAAAAATACTATTGAATGAAATGTTGTCATACGTTATCAATATATTAGCCAATGAAAATACTTCGTTCTGTATGCTTTTTCTCTCCAACATACAATTATATTTCACCTACTATGCATATGAGTGAAATCGTATATGGGGTTATTAATTGAATGACGATCGTAACGGAGAAAGAAAAAACAAAAGAAAGAATAAAAAAAGACAACCAATGCTTTATTCAGAAATAACGACTAGTGATGACTTATTTATCTTAATGTATAATTAAGATGAGAATCATTAGTAAATACAACAGCAGATGATCAGCTAGAGACACTCTAAAAACCCTGAAAGTGTAACTCAAATCGGAGGATCTTCCGGCATTTGTAATTGAATCTATCCATATTGATGTTTTTGTAAAAGAAGTAATTCAACAGGCATATATAAATGTTCAAACTGTTGAGATTTTAGTAATTTCCGGCTTTTTTTAGGTATCTTGAATGATTTCAAGTGCTAGAAAGCACGGAAAAAAAATTTAGCTGACAATGGTAAAAGTTTTTACTTAGAATATTGTTATTTTTCGTTTACTATTTGACGAAGATATTTTTGTCATCAGCACCTTCCTGAACGAAACAAATCAGAAAGCAGAGATGTTTAGAATAGAGGAGCATCGAAATAAAATCAGCTCTAATCTTGAAGAATTTGTGTTTTCCCCATTAAAATCGAATGATTATCTTCATTATTTTGATCTATCAGTCTCAATAGCAACGTCGACATTCCCGTAGGAAAAAAATATCTAATCCTTGACTGATTCAATGACGTAGTTAGTCACAATCATGAGAATATTTACGCATGTTGGAAAAAAATACGCTTTTTACGCAGGTGTAATCATTATACAGAATTTCTTCTACGCCATTATATCTCAAGACATCACAATTGAGTCAGATGAATCCCACATGACTAAGTTCCCATGTCAGGCATATAAATAGTAATTTTTTCATTACTGATATCATTGTTTCAGTCACATGTAGGTATGCACCAGTTCCAGTCCGACTGGTACCCAGTCCGACTGTACTGGTGCACATCTAGTCACATGCGTTTTTTTGCTGTATACTATGATAGTCAATTACTACATTCTGTCTTAGGTATATCTTACACTCTCTATTACAACTATATTAATTGCCATACTTGAGTCTGGCCAACGACATTTTCACTCTGCAATCATCATCATTGTCAATGTAAAATACTGGGATCTTTCTCCAATTAAAGGTGATCAATTTCAACTGATACCATCAGCTAACCCTCAATGTTACGCTTAGGCCGTGTGAATCGTGACTTATGTCCAGTTGAAATACCTGAAAATCAAGAAGATGTTGTTTGTCTTATTTGGCTTGATTCTAATATGAACAATTCCAAAGATTATTTCGTCATGCAAGAAACTTTACTCGAATTAAATCCAGACGTTCGACTCTGCACAGAAGTGAATCAATGTATTGATTTGATCAAGACACTGATTCATAAACGTATAGTAATTATCGTATGCGGAGATTTATCATATGAAATTGTGCCAGACATTCATATGTTTCGTTCAATAGTAGCTATTCATATCTTTTGCATCGATCGAAAACTTCATGAACCATTGCTGGATAAATATGAGAAAATCGTGGAAATTTTTACCGATCGACAATCTTTACTCGAATCAATTTCTGAGACTATATCTTTTATTGAAAAGCAAATTTATGCTTTCAATCTGTTTGGTCAAAAACAAAAATCCGTACGAGATCCACCGAGAGGATCAGCATCGTTTCTTTGGCATCACTTACTTATATATGTACTTCGACAATTACCTCAAGATGAACAATCAAAAAAAGACATGCTCGATAAATGTATCGATTACTATCGAGATAATAAACGTGAATTAAAAAAGATTCAACAATTTCATCAAATGTATACATCTGATAAGGCCATACAGTGGTATACACGCGATTGTTTTCTCTATCGTCTATTAAACAGAGCTCTTCGAACAGAAGATATCGATTTACTTTATTCATTTCGATTTTTTATTATCGATCTTTGTAATCAACTCGAAAATAATGATTGTAAAAGAAAATCAAATAAGACTATTTCAACATTGTATCGTGGTCAACGTATTTCTAAANCAACATCATGTTTTATTCGTACAATAGCTGAGAAAAGCTACGAGCTTATCGTGTGAGTTGGTAGCTTTTCTCTACTATTGTACGGATAAAACATGATGTTGTTCGGGCCAATCCAGGGTTATCTAGGATCCTCTCTTATATGACCCGAACAATAGTATGTTTTATCCGTACAATAGGAGTGTATCGAAATGGGGTCCCCTCCCAGTTGATCGCACCCATATGTTTTGATTGAAGAATCTTATTTTGAGAGAATCCTGATTGATGTGTGTGTTGCCTCAATATAGTGCAACATCGATAAAGCCTTGACAATGAAATATGTTTAGTGAAGCATGAGGCAAATCAGGAGCCAAAATTACGGAGAGGAATAAAAACCATGACTTAACAGACGAAGCTCATCGTAGAAGGTGTCGAAAAATCAAAATCATTCTCTGATTAGAGTTGATTTCCTCAGAGTATAATGTTGTCGTTTGATTATTACATCATCATATTTAACGTCTATTGGGATACATTTATTGATTAAAATGTTGAATATCAAGAAAATTTTCCATTCTATCGTCTTGTTCCGAAGAAACATGGTCAAGATGGAGATATTAATACGAGGGAAAGATGCCATTCGAACACAGCTGTCTCTCTCTATTTCGATGGATTGGAAGGCCCACGGGAGAAACTTGAAATCGTTGTTATCGAATATCCATTGATTTAATTTTCTATTGAAGAGAAGAGATGATCATTAGAACTGAAACTTATTGATTTGTTCAATAGATTATTCTTTGTTTATTGATTTCACTGTTACTCCGTATTAATTCCATACAATACTTAATGACATTTCATTTCCAAGGGTTTTTAAGATTATCCCATTAAAATTAAACTTTAATGCTTCACAGAAAGCAAACGAACTTCATTCGACTACACGATGCTTGGAGCAAACGATTTCTTCCTCCTTGATTAGCGTTTTCTCAAAATATTTCAATAAGAGAATCGGCGATGATTTAAAATATTTCGTAAATATTTTTGCAGCAAAGAGTTCATTGATAAGAAATGTATATCACTGAAATTAAGTTGATGTCGATGAAATTTCGGAAAGAACCTCTCTTAATCAACTTCACTCGCTTCCTTTCAAGCAAATATTACTTCGAAACGTTCTGTTATTCTCTAATTAGGCATTCTTCTTCTTCTTTTCGTCGCAGGTATCTCTGTTCATCAATTGAGGATTGTCAAGAAAGTTTTCTCTTTAGAAGTATTAAATATACATTTGTTCGTTGAGGAGAAAAGTGAATAAGTATTCTAATCGTCCATGAAAATTTCTGTCATTGCTCGACTGCTTCTCTAGCTCGATAAGATCGAGCGAAATACAACGGTTATAGCAATTGTGTAGGAAAAGTGACTTGCTGAGTGATTAAATATGTCGATTCAAATAAAAAATGTGCGTGCTTGAGAAGAAATTTCTTCTCATAAAGTGTTCAAACATATTGACTGAATAATAGCACAGCCAATGGCGATTTGATGAGGTTTGTGCACATGAAAATGATGAAGAAATTCATTTAAAAATTCAGAAATTGGTAGCATACATAGCATTATATGGAGGATAGATATGCTTCATCGATTTTAAGCTCGGCTCTTCCTGTTAGCAAAATAGAATGTTTTATGAGAACGAGTGGCCCGCATCATATGTTTTAGCAAGCATCGAATAATATGTGTATTCAGATTATGCATGTTCATGAAGGAAAAAGAAAAAGAATAGACAAACTTCTAGTAATCAATTAACCTTCTAACACGTAATCAGTTCAAAATGTATTCGAATGAGTGGATCCAAGACACTTTTAAAAAAATGAGTGTATTAACAAAGCGGTATGCATCCCATTCAGAAACGTGAGTGGCGTTGGATGTCCTCCCTCATCGGTACAAAAACTGAACTGTCCTATCTCGATCCGATGCAGAGACCAGTCTTTGACAATGAACATACAGAATTATGTCAATAATTATTTGTACATTTCACTAATCTCCGAGCAGCATTTAGATCTGCAATGTGATCATATGCCATGATATATTCAGGTGGTTCGTATTCAGTTGCAAGATTCTACATCACATTATCGATCGTCATATTATAGCTGTGAATAGTAGTGATTATTCGTTATTTGTTCTTCTAATTCGCATACTAAAATGAAACCAAAACAATTTGTTCTAGAAAAGAATGCTTACGCAGGTCACGTGTATTTTTTCACAGAATGAAGAAAATATACGGTACACTTGGTCCCATTGCCGTTAAAACTGTCAGGAAAGAAAAAACAACACTGAGGTGCATTGTGTCTTGTTTTTTGCTTATGTGTCTATTAGTCATTATTCTTTTAAATTTTCTTGGTTTCTAGAAATTTTCACATTTAATCAGTATTAGTAAACTACGCTCATGACTGAAGAATTCCATGACCTATCGATTAATACTCTCTTCAAGATCAACGGCAGTTAGAGTGGATTTGAGTAGACTGCAGCGTATGTTACTAATGCAAAAATGAAATAGACGGAAATTAATGATAGAGAGCTGATAGACAGGAAATAAAACAATATATTTTAAAAAAGGGAAAAAATTCTGATTTTAATCAGGTTATTCGATTCATAATTTATCTGAATCACGATGGCGATAAAATACGCTTCTCTCGACTTTCAATGTAATAACCTGAACATTTGGACAGTTTTTCGAACTGCATGACTCAACAAACGATAGGCGCAACACTAAGCCAAGCTTTAACACACATCAAGATACGATATGATTTGATGCTTACACATTTAACAAAATAAGCTGAAAAAAATATCTTTGTATTAAAGTGATTAGAATCTGATTTTCAGCCTGAAAAGCAGGTTTCATTTCAACTTTATTGATTAAAACAAAAAAGTTGATTGAAATCAGACGTTTTTGCTCTTTTTACATAGGAAGGGCATCGTCCACAAATTTTCGAAAATCAAGTACTTATTTATGTGTCGAAGCATCAGTAGTACAGTCAGATGACTCATACTTCTAGTCACAGTTGATTGATCGACAAGTACAACGCGTATTTAGATTTCTGATAATTTATTCAAGTCCATTGTGTTTGATGTTGATTTCACCAATGAATTTTGAATGACTTCGATCTTTGCCATCGATCAATGATTGAGGCAAGATGATTGTCATTGAATTAGTCGATATCAATTCAATGTTTCATTGATACATAGATGCCTCATTTAGATTGAAGAAATCATGATAATTGCTGCTCTATCGAGTTTAAGCGATGGATCGACATTAGCGCCTAGCAAACTATAGAAAACAGTGATGAATGCAATTTACAATGATGAAACTATGATTCGATGCGTAATCGAAGTGTCTTGAAACAGCCTAGTTCAAGGAAATTTTTTTAACTTCAAATGAACCACATGAATGTCGTCGCTTTTAGTTGACACAAATTGACAAGAAAATAAAATCTTCTACATAATATCTGTTAAATTAAGATTATGGTTTTTTGCTTCAAATGAATCAACGATTTGGTGAACTACTTTGATCATTGAAACGGAAAGAAAAAGACGAGTGTGGGAAAGTCAGCCAGTGAAGAGAAGACTATCGTCCTCATTCATTCACAATCAAGACTTACAATACCTCAGTGACACTCCCGAACAATGAAAAACAGTCGATAATCTATAGATCTGTCTTATTTTTCATTCTTACATGGCAATTTAATTTTTCCATATCAAAGATGGCGAGCACGTCTAGCATTGTACCAAGTGTGTAGATTCGAGATTTCAATCCACAGCCAAGAGCTCCTGATCAAACAAGAAAAAACACTTAAAACAGCGTAGATAAAAAAGAAATTATGAACACAAAAACAAAAAGCTTTGGCTTAGCAAAGTGCAAGTGCTTCCTCTTAGGTGTGGATAGAACAAAACGTAGTATCCAATAAATATAGAATCTGCAGCGAAAAGTGACGGTATTTTTTTTTTGTCGCATCTTTGAACTATGATTGGTAGCTGTAAATTACAACATTCAAAGTTTTTTTCAATACAATATCGTCAACAATAAAGAGTAGAAGTAATAGAAGATTGATATCAACGAACAAGAAAAAGCATGTTGAACTACAATCACAATACGACAGCAACGATGTTCTTGTTTCGGTGTAGAAGCTGTAATGAATTGATCGTCAAACTATTTTTCGCCGATAATCAAGTTGCTGATCTGAAGAAAAAGAAGGAAAGCATGAATGAAATGATCATTCGCTGAAACATATCCTCCAACAAGATGATTCTTATATCATATTGTTGTAGAGAATACTTTAGTATGTTTTTAATTCTGTCGATATGAGTACCTGTAAGCTTCTGCCATTCAGCAAAACTAGTTAGACAGTACTAAACGAGTTATGAGACGTCCAAATGCCTATTTATTGAATCGTCTGACAATGTCATAAATAGAGACTTTCCACATTAGATTTCAAGATTGTGTTTTTTCATTGGTCACTTCAGATTCACCAGTCAGCGAAAAACATATGAGTTAGTTGATGTTCGTGCTATCAACATTTTTCAATTATGATTCACCTCTTTCTGCCACAATCCTTGTCATTAGAACTAAATATTCTATCAAACGACTCAACAAACTATCAACTCCGAATATGAATTTCACATAAAACTAACATGCAGACTAATATATCCATTAGTACTATAATCGATCAGAAGTTTGACTCCGAAGTCATTTTTGATCCTGCTACTATCGTTGTAATGAATATATGTACCAAGTCTAATCTTTCATATACATAATAAATTCTATCAAATGGATTTTCTTTCAAAAAAAAACACAAATGCCTTGCGTTGACTCATTGAATTCGTTGATTGGAATGAAAGTAACAAAATGTCGAAATGGATTAGAGTAAGTCTTCTTAATGAAAAATGAAACACTTAAAGAAGAAAATTTCTTCTTTTGACCAACCTGAATACATAGCCAGATATATAACACATCTATATCATCTTCCAGTAATGCTTGACAGCTTTGAGAAATTCTTCTTTATACAATTTTGATGGTAAAATAAAAACTAAAAAGATGAAC